TCTTTAATGTAATAGTTTTTCATATTCAATTTATTCGTTCAATACTTTTAATGCTTTCCCTGTTGGACCAACAAGGATTGATTTACGATTAACAACCAGCTGGATCGCGGTTGTTAAGGTTTTTGTGCGATTAGACTATAGTAGATATCACATAGAATAAGGGATATCCTATAGTTACCGATTAATTCTTGATAACACCATCGCTTGATTTCATCATAATTCTCTAAGGACTTAGGATTTAGGATGAATGTTCAAAGGTTTTCCCACTAAGGACTTAGAGGAAAATAAACTAGAGATCTGGTAATTGAATGTCATGAACTTGTTGAAGAAATCAGGATTCAAGTTTATTACATGGCAAAGTATACATTTTACTCTAGCATGTTACTCATATTTGTGAAAAATCTCATTTATAATTTTGCTTATTTTTAAGTGATAAATTCCAAACCAAACCCCAACTTAAGTTTTTGTTTAATTGAACCACGAATTTAACTCGGTACTTATACGCAGTCCTCAAGATCGATATTCATGGAATTTCCCTATTATTACTATAGAGGCAAAATAGTACACTTGCTATTTTTACAATCACCAATCTAGATTGATTTGATCAAAGATTTATGGGTACATGCTCATGTACCTTCATGCAACATAATCTTTTCAAGCGTAATGGGAGAAAAAATTTGCATCATTGAAGATGACATTGTAAAGATGATTCAGCATGATGGAATAGGAAAGAGATGTTATTCTATGCCTGGAACTCTTGAAAGCTTGAATGAAACTGCAATTGCAATCTTTCAAGATGGGAAGGATGCTCGTCACCCAAAGTATCTTCATGATAATCTCAAGACTTGGTTTAGAATCATCTTGGGATGCATTAATCATATACCCCCCTTTCAAATTATTCTGACTATGTGAATGCAAATCAGAAGCATATGTTGTTCAACATTTCTTCTGGAGTTAAGCTCAATCTTCCAGCAATTCTTTTCAAGTATCTGGAAGATATCATCAAGGAAACCAGAGATGGTAGTCCTAAGGGAAGATTCTGGATTCCCATGGGAAGACTGATTTATGACATCATTGTAGAGAGCAAGCTTGTGGATACTTTGGATCTCTTTGAGGAGCTGAATTTATATTTTGGAAAACCCCTAAACGGAAGAAATCTGAAAAAACATGTCTCTGATTTCCGACGTTGTTAGAACACCTGAAAACCTGGAAAGAAATGAAATTTCCTCCAGAAGAACTCCTATTGAAGACTTTCCAGCTTTCAATCTTGCGAGATTTCCTAAATATATTCATGGTATTCAAAATCTGGTGAGAAGTTCTGAAGCCCCCTTTGCGTCCCCAGCTAGAAGGAAGACGAAAGCTCCTAAGAAGACTATTGGAGATGGTCCATCTAATGCTTCTAAGAAGTCCAGTAAGATATCCTTGGATGTTTCTTCAGAAGATATGGTTGTTGTGTCTGGACGCCTCAAGGTGGCCAGAACATTTGAATCTTCCAAGACTAATGAACCAGCTGCTAAAGTTTCAGCTCCAGGAACAAGTAAGTTTGTTGAAACTTCTTTTTCTTTACTTAAATTTTCATTTTTTTTTAGTTTATCCATCTACACCACCACTCAAACACCCACTCCATCACCACCATCCATAAGTTTTGTTTCCACACTTGGAACAGAAATAGCTCCCACCCAAAAATTCAAATACTTTAGAAGACACTTCTTATGGTTCTCAACCATCCTCATCTAAGCCCCAACCACAATTATATGTTTCCATCACTCAATCATATACCACTATTTTTTTTTCTGAGACTAACCCCTCTATAACCACGTTTGCTGAACCTAGACAACCAACCCATAAACTCCTCTCTCAACTTCAAGAAATTGAATTAGACATAAATCATCTCTATGATGACATCCCTTCACCATCTCCTCACCATGAGTTGTATCACTCAGATGCCCCGTTCACTGCTTCATAGGACTCTGATATTGACAAAAAAATTCTCAACTCCTTAACAGCCAAAAAACCCTTTTAAGGAATTTAGAATTAATCTTTCTGATTCTGAAGAAGCAATTCTAAGAATCATTTCTAAACTTGACATAATCTCTTGTCCATTCACCACCCCTTCTGACCAAACCTTTCTCAGAACCAACATTCGTCCCCCTCATATAGATGAAATATTAATGTGTTTTAGTACAGAAGTAAGTGCTCGCTTGCACTCTATGATGCATGTTTGCACTCATGGTATAAATCCTGTTGAGAGTGATGTTTTCTGGTCAAGATTCAAAAAATAGTTGCTCTCTCTCTCTCTCTCTCACTCGTGAGATGAAAAACCTTTCTTTTCTGGATACAGCAAGGAGATTCCATGTTAGTCTTTCAGAGATAATCCAGCCAATTCTGGACAACTATCAGCTTCTCTACCTTCATGTTCTAGAGCCAATTATACTTCTAACATGTCCTGAAGAAGTTGCCTCTGAGATGGACAATCAATATGAAGAAGCTCCTTTTGCACTACTTCATCAGTTTGAAGTTGCTCCTTCTAAACAACAGGCTCTTTATCTTCCTAAGAAGACCTCTATTGAAGTGGGTTCTACCTCTAAGGATGTGAAACCCTTTGCTTTTGAGGAGTTACCTCCATTTCTCAAGGAAACTCTGGATGAGATCAGAAAGGAGAATGTTATTGTCAGATCGCGTTTGGACAAGCAAGATGAACAGTTCAAGAATCAAGTCCTGACCAATTCTTCAATCACCAGTATGCTTCAATACATCCTTGCAAGATTTCCTCCTCTGCCAAACCCTTAGACCATTTTATTTTACCTTTGTTTTTAGAACTTAAGCTCTATTTTTTGTTTTTCTAAAAATTTGTACTTTATATGTTTATTTAGTGAAGTTCTGGTTTTGGTTAAACTATTTTAAGTCTTTTTAATTAATGAAAAAGGGAGAGAAATAGATGATTTTGATATATCTATATCTCAGAACTGATCCCAAACATATTTTGATATTTTTGCATCCAAACATTGTTTGACTAATCAAGAACTTTAAGAAAGTTCAGTGAATTTTTCTAAACAGATAAATTTCAAAATTTCTCAGAAATTCTGAAGGAGATTCAAACTCTGATACTCAAAAGTCATGGTAACCAGACCTTTATTTAAAGGAAATTCAAACAGACTCTGATGCAACAACTAGGTCAATCAAGATTTGATTCTTCATTATAACTCGGTTTTGTTACTTTATCATGTTCTGATAGCGAGCCAGGATCTGAGATGATGAACCCGGCATTACTAGTCAGACACTGATGGTACCTCAATCAGGGAAGTATTCCTTTCATGTTGATTAAATCGTTTTCTGCTTCAAAATTATTTTATAATTCTTGAACTCGGGGAGGCCTTTGATCAAGCAAAAATGAATTTTTGGAGTATAGAACTCAGGGGGAGCTTTATAGATAACTCTGAATTGTTTTATATGATTAAACCTAGTATAAATTGTTCATCAAAATACATGGTTTTGTCATCATTAAAAAAGGGAGATTGTTAGAACAAGATTTGGTTCAGCATCTAGCCTTTAGTTTTGATGATAACAATACATTGTTTCTTAGAGAATAATTTAATACTCTAATAGTTTTTATCTAGTGTATAGCTTTTGCTAACAGGTTCTGACTCTGAAGATAAGACGTGGGACATCACCAGGCTTTGAACTTTACACACTATGACTCTGATGAACGTTTGTGTTAAAGCTTCTGAATGTGACGCTGATGTAAGAGCTTATGAAGACTTCTAAAGCTCTGAAGATTCTTCTCTTTCTTGCTCCAAGGTTCTGAAGACAAGGTTCAAAAGAACAAGTTCTGAAGACTCTAAAGACAATGTTTTTTATCATTTTGGACATGCTTCAACAACACACGTTCTGGAGCCTCTAAATATTACAAGATAAGATCAAAAGGTTTTATGTGAGTGAATAGTACAATGATACAAGATCAACACTCCTTCCACTACTCTGATTTTGTGGCATGAGGACTATATTATAGTACAATGTTGTTTACCACTCTCAGTGATCTTTATGCAAGAATATATAGTTGGAAATCGATATTCTTATTCTACCCTCCAACAGATTTATTTTTGGCTATAAAAAGAAGACTTGGAAGAATTGGAAAACAAGGAATTGCCATTACGCTACTAATTTTTTAACAACAATCTTTTCACTTGAACTTTCAAAGTAAATACTTTTCATTATGTAAAGATTTGTAAAGTAAGGAACTTTTGTTTGTTAACTTGCTATTAACACTTTTGTGTTATCTATGTATTTGAACTTGTGTAAATCTTCTTTCTTAGAAGCAAATTTGTAAACACAATCTTTGTATCTCAACTTTTGAGTTGATTGTTCCTTGAGAGACTAGAGTATAGTCAGAATTTCTCAAGAAGATATTGACGGGTAGCCTTTGTGATTGTAATCAGTTTGGTTATAGTGGATTAAGTCCTTTTTGAGAAAGACAAAATCACATTGGCGGGTGGACTAGATTAACTTCGTTAATAGTGAACCAAGATAAAAGTAATTGTGTTTATTTATTTATTTTCTTGTTTCATCTTTGTTTGTTTGGATAGAAAAAGTTTCAAATCTAAAAACTTAATTCAAACTCTCATTTCTTGTGTTTCATGTACCTTCAATACCAACCTTGTCTAGCAAGTAATTCCTAACAATATCTCTATGAACATTATAAAACCAAGTGAAATTCTTAGTTTGTAAATCAAAGTTAGCTAAACAATCAGCATAAAAATTGGCTTCTCTGGAAATGTGAGTGATAATGAAATCAATGGTAAGAGTGTACGACCCGATAATTAAGCCAACGAGATTAGAATTGGAGAAGACTTTAACCACAAACATGCAATCAGTTTCAATCCAAAGCTTCTTCCAATTTAACTCTCGCTTTCTCAATACCAACCAAAGTTGTCGTTAATTCTGCAAACTTTGTCGTCCCAACATCAAGATAAGCACAAAAACTTCCAACATGACAAGTTTTGTCATCTCAGAAGATACCACCACAATATATGAGCATAGAGGGGGCCTCTAGCTAGGCCATCTATATTACACTTGAGCCACCCTAAGGGAGGGGGAGACCAAAAAACCTCTTTGATTTGCAAAGGTTTGGTAGGATGAATTGATATGTCCAAACTTTTCAAGAAAGTGAAATTCGATATGGAAGCATTAGAATTATTAGTGGTGATATTCCCAACCAACTTTTCCTAAGCAGAAATGATATTGATGCAGTTTTTCCAATGAATTCAAATGTCTCAAATCCAGCAAGATTCCTAGTAAAGCAAGCAACAATCACAGTTTTGGCTTAAGGGGACCAATTAGCAGCCATAGCAGTTTTGCAATCCAAGATATTTTGAAAGTTGGTTTGGATGTCCAATTTTCCCTTCAACCAATTCCAGATGCTTCTAAAGAAAGAGCAATCAAAGAAAAGATGACTGGATGTTTCTTGATGAGCTCTGCAGAGTTCGCAAATAGATGCAAAAGATAGGCCTCTTAAACCGAGATTATCATTAGTAGGAACTTTGTTGTGAATAAATCTCCATACAAGCATGGATAGACTGAGATGGAGGTATGTTGCTATCCCACGGGAAAGAAGACCTAGCAGCATTAGGGTGAGGTTTATGGAGGAAATTGTAAGCTTGCTTTAGGCTCAACATACCATTATCAGTACCTTTCAAAACCAGCACATCATCAAACTCTAGCTTAGCAATCTTCACTTTGGAAATACAAGGAAGAAGGCTAGGGAAAGCAACTTGAATGGTTACATGGATAACACAATTCTTATTCAACGGAAAATCTCACCTTTGAATTAAGGGTGTTGTGAAAAATATCTAGAATTTCGAACTTGGTTACAAGAGGTTCATCCAACCAATTATCAAGCCAAAAATGTGTTTGAATGCCATTTTCCCAATCAACCATTGATTGTTGTCCTTGACAGTATCAAAACTCTCTTTCATGTTACTCCAAATAGAGGACTTAATGGAATATTTAATGAATCTATTATTCATTCTTACTATGGCAGCAAGCAGAGAGGACTAACCATGATTAGCATTTAAAAAACTCCAATAAAAATGGAGATTAGTAGCAGCATTGAAATTTTTTGGAGATTTAAACCAAGACCACCCTCTTTCATGCTTTTGCAATAAGTCTTCCATGCTACTGTCACCAAATTCTTTTTATCCAAGCTTTCACTTCATATAGTTAGGAGGAATCCAGCCATGCAAAAAGAATAGACAAAAATCATTAATTACATCCAGCTTGATAATATCTCGATACTTTTGGTAGAAGAAAGAACCAAAACCATCAGATCCAGGGGGAGAGTCAGCATTAAGCTTCATATTTGTCTTATGAATCTCTTCAACAGAAGGCGTCATAATGAGCATGTAGTTAGTTTGATCATCCACTAGCTTAGGGATGAGGTCTTGAACCATGCCATTATCTTGCAAAATGGCTGTTATTAAACTGAGTTATTGAAATGTTGTTCAATACGGATAGATCTAAACTTTTTTGTTTCTTCTTTTCTTTGAAGAAACCAATTGAAATTTCTGTTCAAGAATGTAATCAATGTCATGGTGACCATCATTTCCTATTTCAGCCATATTTTCCCAAGACTGTTGTGAGAAATCTTTCATATGTTCCTTCTGATAATCCACAATTAGTGTTTCATGTACCACTTCATCTATTATACTCTCACTGTCATAGACTCCATCAGTTTCCCTTAAATGTAAAGTACCTCTGGATTTACAACAATAGTATTATATTCAATGGCATGAGATGAGTGCAAAACTTATATCTCCAACTAAGCTTGAGGGACCTTTTCTTAAATAGGATTAAGAACTTCTTCTATAATTGTTTTCTTGAATGCAATTTTTTTTTGATAAATCTAACAAATTACTTATTCCATAATTGATAAATCAAACAAATCATTCTACAAATCAAACAGATCAACAATCTCAGCCGAAAGATGGTGATTTTTGTGTAATAATCACATATTAATCATATACTAAATGAAAAATGTCATCACTGATTGCAAAACATTCTCAAATGCTATACCACTAGAACATTAACATATGAAACAAAAACCTTAGACCAAAAAAATTCTATGAAACAAACACATTAATGAAAATAACAGAAATAATAATAAATAAATTGAGAAGAGATCAGATGGTAGTGCATGTGGTAATCATCATTCAAGTGCAGTTTTTATGGATAATCATCATCACATCTCTTTCAGTTTAATGGAACAAACAAAAGAACAAACACAAAATTATAAAATCGAAAAAATCATGAAATTGAATTTTGTATAAAGAAGAAGATCAGATATAAAAGTCAGTCACCATGTTACACCATTGTGGTGAAAATTAAGACTGGGGCGACAATCATTATCATCATTTCAAATCATAGAAAACGAAAACAATAATCTAAACAAAAAAAGAGAAAGAGAGTTGAAGCATAGAATAATTTAAGATCTTATTCGTAATGAAAGAGTAAGAGATTTTACCCAGAATTAGGGTTTCTCTGGAGGAGATATTGGGGACTGAAGCTGAAACTTTATAGCGCGAGATTGAGATGAGAAGGGTGTAGGGTTGGTTTTTTATTCTCTGGGCTGGGCCTATGTTTATTGGGTTACACTGATTAGCTCAACTAAGATCATAGCATGTGTTTGTTTTGAAGTTAGGAAATATATTTCTTTGAATGATATAAATTTTTATTTTTAGATATAATATTTTTATTTATGTGTTTGGCTAAAAATAATTTTTTTTGAAAACATTTACATATTTTATTTAATTTGAAAATTATGAAAGTTAAAATTAAATATTAATGTGAATATTAGTTGGAAGTTGTAGTTAGTTAATTTTATTCTCATGAAAACATTGAATTATTACCCTTTAGATATGTGAATAAATATGAAAAAATCATGGATAAAATAATTTCTCATTATATTTTAAAAACTTGAAACAAATATGAGATTATTGTATTTTTTATATCACATTCCTAAAAATATATTTTTCTATTGGTAAAACAAACACACTCTTAGAAATCTACAATATAAGAAAAGTATAACTTTTTTCTTCTATTGTTCTGAAGACGACACATGGCTTCTTGAGTGGAAACCAAATTGTTTTTCCAAAAGTCCTCATTCGTTTAATGTCCCGCCTCCTTCATTTAATGCTTGGCATTCTCTACTTCCATCTAAACCCTAACTACTTCCAATGCTTAATCACTTTTCTTCTGACCGCATCTATAGGAGATTTATTTTTATTGATCTATATATTTCTAAACAGTGTTCAATAGGATCAGCGACGAGGATGCAGTGGCTAGTGGCTTATGTTGCGGTTGTCGGAACAGTTCGTGTTCATTAGAGATTCAGCGTTAAGTGTTTTTTTTCAGCAACAACGATGTGCTTCTGTCTTTTAGTTCTTCTTATGTTTTGATTCTTTGTTAATTTGTGTTGTTGTGAGATGTATTCATTGAAACTATTGATGTGTTTGTGTTTTGAAACCTTGAATTTGTAATGGTTTGTGTTGTATGGATTTGTGACAGTGTTATTGATGATGGTGTGTGAATGAATTAAGATGACATGTTGTTTTTTTTGTTCTACTTGGTTTTAGTCATAATGTTTAGTGTTAATGTAGTGAAAAAGATTATTACATTCAAAATATTGTTTAGAACAAGTACTTGAGGTTGAATTCAAAATATTGTTTAGAAGATGAATGTAACAGGGCAAAATATTGTAACAATATGGTACTTAGTCACATTCAAAATATTGTTTTATTTCTGTCAGATTCTGCCCTGTTACATATTCATATATGGTACTTGAGGTTGAATTTACAAGTTTAAAACAGGTACATGTTTCATACTTTCATGTTGTCTTTAATATAGGTGGATATATTGTTATATAAGTACGATGTTTTATACTTTCATGTTTTCTTTAATCCAGGTGGATTTATCTTTATATAGAGAACCTGAAGAGGTCAAGGAGCAAGAAGAGGATGATGTTCATCCCCCAAAATATGCTATTGTCGATTTCAATATAGTTGTTCCATCTGATGGTCAGTGGCATGCTGTAATTGATCAATCATGGACAGATGTTGCTCCTTAGCCTATTCCAGCAGTTCCAGCAGTCAACTGACCAGCCCCAGAAGGTGGTAGATAATTATTTTCTCTTTAACAATTCCTTGACAAAGTGGAGCTTTAGGCACTTCACATCAACTTTTATTTGGCCCCACCCCTTATACCTTGACAAGTTCTCTATTTATTAAGAATTGTATAATATATCTAGTTGCAGTAAATTGAATTACTTTTTTGAGATTGTTTTTGGTGGTATGGACAAGAGGCGTTTTATAGGTGACCACATTTACTTTTTAATTTTTCAAAAGGGTTATTGATAGGTATTATATTTATAGTTTCTCAATTTGATGTCAATTTGCACCAACTTCTCCAGCGCATGAATTTTTTGAAGTGTGGATTTTTATGCAAGATCCAAATGTAAAATGGGATAATGTTGGTGGACTTGAAGATGTCAAAAAATCAATCTTGGATATTGTTCATGTGAGCTTTTTGTATGTCATAGCTTAACTGGTTGTCACCTTTCCCCCTAATTTAGAAGTGCAACTTCAAACTTTTGAAGTTGTGCTTATTGTAGCTGAAAACAATGCTTATCATGTCAACTTGAAAATATATTTAGTGTAAAAAGGAACTTGAGGTTATGTTTACATGCTGAACATTTCATAAATGTCACATTTAATAAGTTGACTGAGTTGAATTTCATTTTACTGTATACTCAGATAGAAATGCAAATAAAATAAGAAAGAGGGTTTTTTTGGTGAGTAAAATTAAAATATGAATGAACTTTACTCCTAAAGTTAGACATGACAGCTGTCAAGACTAATTTCTCCTAAAGTTTTTCTATATTATCAAGACTAAATCTTAGATTATTTATACCTTATTATATCAGTTTTTCTTTTTTTCAACTTGTTTTCCAATATCATTTTTTCTATATTTTAATATTTATCTTACTCAATCATAAGTTATATAGGAGATATTATGTATTTTCGGTAACTATTTGGATACATTTATATTACTGCTTTCTTGGATGTATACATATTACAACTTTGAGTATACGGTCCTAGTACACATTTTCTTAATGATCTCATTCAACTTTTCGCTATGGACTTTTCTAACACTATACATGTCACCTTCGTGGGTGATGCTCAGCAGAAGCGTTATGAGACGCTTGCTTCGAGAGAGATGTATCCCACCATCTTTGTGCATGACCCCACATTTTTCGCATTGGACATTAGGGAGAGTGCCTGTTTCATGTTTAACCAGATTGATTGGGATTATTTTATTCATCATCAACAACATACCTACCGCAATTTGACGATGGAGTTCCTCAGTTTGTTGCATTACAACCCTGATATTGGTTTAGGGTTGGCCAGAGGTTTGGTTTCATTCAGATTGTTTGGTTTTACCCACAGGTTCACCATCCATGGATTTACTACTTTATTGGATTTCCCAGTTAGTGTTGATGTTGTCATTGAGATTCCAGATGACAAGTATGTGGACAACCAGCTTGACCACTTTTGGGGAGAGATATCTGATCTGAGACAGGAGAGCTTTATTCCTATGTACTCTTCAGAGATTCATAACCCCGCTATTAGGTATTTCCACATGATTTGGGCGTTTACCCTATTTGGAAAATCTCATAATGATACCTTAGTGTCTAAGGAAGAGTTGTTTATCATGTCCTGTATGTTTCAGTCCATACCGGTAGTTGGTGTATCTTTTATGATTGCTCGTCTCTTGAGTATAGTCAAGGCTCCTCATGGCCCGATTTGTGTTGGTGGTTTATGGACTATGATCGCTAAAGCCATATTTTTGAGAGAGCCACTGTCACGTCTAACCCCTGCTGATAACTATACCCCGCTAGACCTTACTCTTTGTTTTAATGTTGGGATGATCAGATATTTAGAGCTGAATCAGTTTCAGTTACTGATACATCATGAGCCAGTATACCACTTCACACTTCCTAACATTGCACGGTCCAGTGTGCATGACAGGAAGAATTGGATTTATGACCTGGATGGTATAGTTGAGAATGACATGGAAGAAGAAGAGTGATCCTTTGACACCGCCCCCATTATTATGACCCTATAGTAGGATTGGGCGAGTCTGATCCTGAGATGGCAGAGAATGATCTTGTGACAGCTCATTTACTTGACCGCCATCCAGCTTGGGACCCACCATCAGCTCCTGCTGCCGCCGCTATCCATATTCCTCAGACTGATTACGATGTTGCTATGGATGCTATCGAGACAGAGCTTGCTGATATTCATTCTAATATTACTTCCTTCTGCAGAGATTTTTATGGTTTCATGGATCTTGTTACGGTAAATATAGACCACCTATTTCATTCTAGAGGTGGCTGATTTATGTCTTTAGAACATTGAGGGCATTGTTTTCTTTAAGTGTAGGGGAGAAGTGTTTATTAAGTCTTTAGTTTTTCATTAGCATCATGTGATTGTGTCGGAAACCGTGCGTTGACATTTTTTTTGCTCTATTATTTGCTTGAGCACAAGCAAAGGTTCAAGTGTAGGGGAGTTTGATAAACCGGAAATGTATTGAATATTTGGATCAATTTACATGAATTTTACCCGCATTTTAATTGATTAAATTACTCTTATTTGTATTATGCTGGCATTTTCTATATTTTCAGGAATTTGATGTTTGCAAGGCATGTGCGAAGAAAGTCAAGAAAAATTGAGCTAATCGTATTTAAAATCCGCACAAAGAAAGAGAAATTAGGTAATTGAGGGGTGTGTGGCAGAATTGGGTGCATTACAAGTAAAAAGACTTGGAAGACCAAAGAAGAAAGAAACGTTGGGCCCAATCCACTCAAGGCCCAATGGAGGTGTAACGACCATTACACGTCACCTAACGACCGTTACACCTTGCCACGCTAGCCCCTCCCCAAAAGTAGGAGTGTAACGACCGTTACACTAATTCCTTCAATCCGTAACAGTTGCTACGGAGGCAAATCTGGAGGAGAAAATATCTCAACTCCCTGCGTGTCTCCAAGCCTATAAATAGGACCTCAAATCCCCACTTGTGGGGGACGTTTTCTTTTCTCTGTTTTTACTGTCACTCTGCCGAATATTTTCCGCTTTATTTCTTTTTGTTTATTTTACCGATCTTTGAGAGACACCTGAAGTCAGCCAAATATTCTGCCATAGTATTTTCAGGTTTAATTTAAGTATTTTATTTATTTATGCCAGGATTGTCTGAAATGTTTAGTTTATTTAAGTTGTTTGATGGTAGTTATTTTTGTTGCGTTGTTATTGAATTGTATAACATGCTAGGCTAAATTTATTTATCGGTATGTAAGGTCATATAGCCAACGGGGTTTAGCAACGTCAATTGATCAATTCCTTTAAAAAAAGAATAATTTTCTGGTTTCAATTACTAGTTCTAAATATTCACTGTTTTGTTACGAGAGTAAAATACAGATAGAAGTTAGGATCAATAAAACGAGAGTTTGAGATAATAACTGGACAGTGGTTATTGTGCATCAACTTAAAATATAGCGAGAGCGCTTTTAAGTTGATTAGGTTTTGTTTGTTTCTAAAAATTATTTTTAAACTCTAATTGAAACAACGAGAGCACTCACTTAGGTTTTATCGTAGGATCTGAATCAATAAACACGAGAGTGTGAGAAGAGGGTTTTCAAACAAAACTTCCTACTGAAAACTGTTTTGTTAATCTGAGTTAGGTCAATGAGTTGCTAAATCCCCGAAGTCCGACCATTACATACCGATATTCTCCCTTGAATCTAAAGTAGATTATAATCAGTTAGGTTCCCAAAACCCCCTATTAATTACATTATTAGCTTTAGATTTACGTAATAACCTAAGATAACGGTAGTTCGACATTTAGTTCCTTGGGATTCGATAATCTTTAAAGCTACACACGATAGGACTGTATACTTACGGTCTAGATTCTTTAAGACTCACAAAGTCGCGATCATATACATATGATAGATTCTTTAAGCCTTTAGTCTTATGTACTGATGATACATGTGTATTTACTACAAGCCT